GCGGTTTATAAGTTCAAGCAGCTCATGTTAGCGTGACACACATACAAACACAGCCTAATCACCGTAGAATGTACCAGGATTTCACAGAGGCGGGCCGGACCTCGCATGCTGCTTTGGAATGTCAATGGTAGTTTCGTCTAGATGCCGAGCTGCACTGTCATTGCCAGGCTATATGGTATGGAGGAAGATAGAGCAACCACATTGAACCATAGAATGCATTCATCGGGACTTTTAAATAAGCCCTTAGATTCTCTGGAGGAAAGCATGGAAGTTGCTGATGCTCTCCTGTGGTCCATTGACGAAGTACTTTAGGTTTTTCTATAACCATTTGGCAAGCTTTTACGTAGGCGATCCAACGAGCAGCACTGTGATCCTTAATAGTGCATCTGCTTTGCTAATCTTTGATAGACCATAATCAAGTGCTATACGGGGGTCGTTGTGATGTAGAAATTTGGAGTCCCCAGGTTTATGAGCCTCTGTTTAGTGAGTTCATTTACCTTCTTTTTTGCTGACGTAGCGTACTTTTTCGTTAGATCGTTAGTAATTGATATATATGCCTGCTGTCACTAAAAACTTGATTGGTCTACTGTCAATCCTATCCACAATGATGGTTGCACTTCCTTTGTCGGCGGATACAATAACGATTCTATCGTCCAACCTCAGGGACTGTGTACACGAGAGGTGAATCAGTTAATTTATTAAATGTTGGCTGTCACTCTAAACCTCCTTTATTTGCCTCCAGTGTGGCATACTGGGCTGGCAAATTGTTTTCAGAACGTTTTCAGTCACTTGAGATTAGTTATTAGCCCTCTGTTTCGCCAAACTCTGTTTGCGTAACAGTGCTTCGTGTAACTTGGTCTGTGTAATGAAATGCGCAATTGTAGCATAGAAGCATACAGCTAGAAAGCGTATTATTCGAGATACTTTAATTCGTCATTGGTTTGCTCGGTTTGGCTGCCTTGTGTATGTTTATACTGTTTTTTTCTTTCTTTGAACTGCTGCTTGACCGAACGTGTCAGAGGACTTTAACCGGGCTTTTAATTATTATAATCATCATGCTGTCAAACATCTGGCTTTCAAATGCATAGCCTGGCCTGGTTTCGTTGATTATCACATTTGTTAAATCCTACATTCATATAATGACATGCACATAGTTGTTTATTATGGTTTTTCTTATTTGAATTCCTTTTATTTATTGAGTTTTTTACATATCATTCTCAATTTCGTTGGCTGAAAGTTGGTTATTGTTTATATTTTCTTGCACACACTTTTCGGTGCTTGTGTATGGTGAGACCCCACTCTTAAATTCCCCATTATCACCATTCCTGTCTTACGCAATCCCGGGGCCGCTGTTGGCTAATGGGGCTTATATAACCTACGTTTGCCAACTACGATTAAAACGTAGAATACTTGAAAAGGACGCGGTGTAGGTCGATAAACCGCTTCGAAGTTAGCATTTTGAGGTAAGAAAAGTGTCTCTTGTGCATATGACCTTTAGTAGTATACTCTCTGTGTCCAGTTAAGTGGTCTTTGGACGAAGATGTGAACGTTTCAGTCGTTGCAAGTTTAATTTCGCTCCTACACATACTGACGTACGATCTAACGGAGTGGCTGTTCCACAGAGTGAAACTGTCGTGATCGAAATATATTGAGTCCAGCGAGTCAGTACGTATGAGTCGAGGAGAGAGAATTAGTGAGTACTCTATAGTTGGGCTTTCTGCATCTTATAATTGGCGTACAGGAACTGAAGAGGGATAAAGAGTGGTTAGAGTAATATAGGCAATTATTGAACGATCGTTAAGGGGCATGGATGAACGTTTATTAATAAGGGTAAGAAGGCAGGGGTGAACGAGGGTCAGAGAAGTATTAGCACGACATTCTCGGCATAATGTTCGCAAATCTAGTCGAAGGTTTGCATGGAACAAATTCTAAGAGTGGGTTGCGAAGGCAGTACGGATGAATGCGTTACTGTTGTTTTATCAACGCCTCCAGGTTATGCTTATGGGCGTCGTCTTCACCATAGCCATTATCAGGTATTGTTACACCTTGGTTGTCAGTACAGCTGGCGTTGTTCTGTTCGGCATTTGCTGGTTGATCAAACGGAAGTGGAATGGAATTTTCGATTTAAAGTGTGGCCATCTCTTGAAAGTGATCACCGACGTCTTTTCACCTCTAGGAGCAAGTAGTCGAACAGATACTGTCTCTTCTCTGCCATTGCCAAATCGTATGTGAGCATACTGGGGGTTGCACTGGAGCAGATCAACCTCCTCACAGAGTGGACCATATTTAGACTGTTGACTACTCTTCTTCAACAGGACTTGAACAGGAGATGTGGGCCACATAGGAAAAGTGGTTCCAGTGCTTGACATCCGATTATAGGTAAACATTTTCCATGTAGTGTCTCGTTGGTG